AATGGTGCTGAAATGCCCGTCCCCCCCACCCCCCACCACTGCCTCTGCCCCCGATACCCTCAGAACTTCTGTGCAGTACCAAAGAATCAAGATGCTGAATTTCACGTGAAAATCCATAAACAAAAATTAATAGAGGTAGACGTAGGAGCTCTGAAGCAGAAGTGACCATCTGCAGAAATCACGGAGGGAGTCAGCCTGGCCTAGGATGGCCACCGCTGTGGGGTCGGGAGGGGTGGGTGAGCAGGCTCCGCCAGATCTCAGGGCTCCGGGATCTACCACCACCGGCCACACGAGCAGACTCTTGTAGCCTCCTCACTAGATTCCCTGACTCCAGCTTCCCCCGGTCCAGTCACACTCCGTGCTGTTTCAGAGAAATCTTTGCAAATTTCACATCTGATGCTGGTCGTGCCCTATTTAAAAACCAATGTCTTCACACCAAGGTCAGGTTCAACCTCTGAAATGGTAGAAATTGATACCCCAGCCTACTTCATCAACCTTATCTCACGCTAGTCCTCCCCCACCCCCCACCCCCGCCCCAAATGCATGCTCTGCAACCCCACGAAGCTCACAGCACTTGCAACTCTTTTCAGAAGATATCCATGCTCTTCAAACACTTACTCAAGCTGCCTGGGACCCTGAGCCTCTCCCTTCTCTACCTACTTCTCCAGGAAAGGTTCTAATTTCAACAGAAATGGATTCTGGCTGGTTTCAGCAGTAAAGGCATGTAGTAAAGGATATAGTGTGGCTCCCAGAATTCCTGGATGGGCCAGAGATGCAGGCTTAGAGATGAATGACCAGGAGCCACACCCAAAACAATGCCAGTGCACATTCCACAGAGACAGTGCTGCCCCAGTGCTGGTGCCTCTGGCATTGCCCAAGCTGGTACTGGGCATCCCTGTAGGACTTCACCAAGGCCCCTCCCTCTGAGGGGCCACATTAAACAACAGCCCCCTCTGTGCTGAGAAAGCTTCCAGCAGCAATCACAAGGAGGGCTGACCATGCACTTGGCATCACTGAGCCCACCACTTTAGGGATTGGTGGGGTAGTCCCCTATGTCATCACAAAATTAGAACTACCAAGGTAATATATATGTCAGCTCTGGATACATATTAAGAGAAAGCTTCCAGCAGCAATCACAAGGAGGGCTGACCATGCACTTGGCATCACTGAGCCCACCACTTTAGGGATTGGTGGGGTAGTCCCCTATGTCATCACAAAATTAGAACTACCAAGGTAATATATATGTCAGCTCTGGATACATATTAATCAAGTTTCTACCCAGTAACAGATTACAGCTAGTACATTAGAATGTTATATCAAGACCATATTATTACTCATTAGCTATTAGAGCCCACTGTGTGCCAGGTTCTGCATATATATTATCTCTGATTTTCAGGAAAACAAAAGGTAGGTATCATATTCCCATCCTATATGTAGGGGCTGAGGCTCAGATTGACTAATTGATTGCACCAGGCCACACAGCCAAAAAGCAGAGGTGCTGAATCCAAAACCAACCCAGATTCCAAACTTCTCACTCTTCTCTGTCTTACATCAGGTTGCCTCTTTCACTAGACATCCTTTAGTAATAATAATTTGAAATGACAATGCATTAAAAATACCAAAGCCTGAAATGTTATCTAAGATGCACATCTGGTGGGAAAGGTGGGGACAGTACTAACTGGTGCCGAGGTCTCCTGCCTATTAAAGCTCTGTTCTTTAAGTGTTTAATTGGATCCAATATGTCATTAGAGATAATGGAAAACATCATAAGGAAACAAAGAGAATGAAGGAGCTGAGATCACATGCTACAGCCGTAGCCAACACACTGCAGACAGGCAATCTTAAGAAACTCTGGATGCTGTTAATTAATTAAATGAATAGCTGTCCAGCCTGAGAATGGGCAAGGCTCTTTGGATGAAGATACGGAAGCAAGAAGAAAGAGGGCCACACCATCAGCATGAATAAGAACCAACAACTCATCTACTCCAAGTGGTGTGGTGTCTAAACACAGCCCTGGTTTCAGTCCTAGGGCTCTGGGATGCTCCTGCACATGGACCAGGATCTTGGGTTATAAAGGTGGAAGGTTACCAAGGCAACACACAGACTGACTTCTAACAGTGAGGGCCACTCCCTGCCCAGCCTCCTAGTTCATTTAGTAGTATGTTATGGACAGCTCACTAGATTGTACTTGACTCTCCGAATATTGGCTATATTCTGACATTTGGATGAAGGCAGTATCAAAAATCTTAAATGGCCTTATCCTATTCTTAGAAGAGCAAATTCCTCATTCACTCATTCATTTTTTTTTTCAATCTATTCATCATGTATTTACCAAGAGCCCGTATGTACCAGGCATTGTTCTAGATGCTGGGAACATAGATGAATGAAAGAGACAATCCCTGTCTTCATAAAATTTAGAGGTTGGGCATGCAATATATTATTGAACATTTTCCAAGCACCAGGACCAGGCATTATGTTGAATGGATTCTCCAGATGGCACTTAATCCTTTCCAAGGTCCTAAGGAACCAAGACTTGGAGAGGTGATGCAACTTTCCCAAAGTCACACAGTCCCAGAGGGACAGAGCTGGGATTCCAATCCAACACCACCTGATGCAAAAGCCTATGCACTTGGCTGCTTTTTCATATTTCCCTTGGCAACCTGTGGATCTCATTTCTTTACAGTTCCTGCCTTTTCTGCTTTGAGATCTAGGTTTGGGTTTGTGTCAGTTCCACCCTCTCATGCAGTTGTTGACATAAAACATTCCAGCACCTAATAATATACATTTCACTGTGACCAGGCAACATGTTACAGACAAATTTTAGCACTTAGACCCAACATCATTTTTTACCTAAAGGATATGTGAAGATGAGATTACTTTACTACCTGGGCTAAAGTCAAAACAATATTCTGCATAGAAATTAAATTCTAAAGGCTCTGGATTATTAACACAGCAATGGTGCCACCTGGTGACCATTATTGTGTATTACACATTCCTTGACTTGTGGGGAGTGCATTTTGGATGTAGTGGTGGGTGCCTACTGCAGTCTGGATGAATAATAAGCCTCCGGTAGTGTTGATCACCTTCACTCCTCATCCCCCAACTCCACGCCACTTATTAACAGAGAAAAGATCACAGGTATAGAGTACAGCATGGTTCAGCATTCCAGCAAGCAGGACACAAGGAACCCGTGACCCACAGTGAGACTGCCAAAGGGTGAACCATTTTCTGCCAGTCTCCAGGATCACTTGCCCTTTGGGTCATGACAGATTCATCCAGCATCTCCTGCTGTAACACTTCTTTCTTTTCTAAACGTTGTGGCTACACATGACTCCCTCCCCACTGTCCCACCCCAATACCTTCTCTGATCCTATCCTATGACTATAGGAAACAGGCAGGAACTCACATTCACTTTGAACTGGGGACTCAGTTATGGACAATAATCATGATTCCAGCTCTAAAGCTTACAGTCTAGCAGGGGAAACAGGTGGCAAATTAGCCTATAAATTATTCACTTCAATTACAATAATTGCTACAAAAATGAGGCTCTGAGAGTTTACATCAGTAAAATAGGACCAGATTAGGTTCAGAAAAATTTTCCTCGAGGAAAGAGAGTAAGTGGGCTGTGCCAAAAATGGCAAAGAGTCTGGTCATAGTGAAAAGGGAGCCTGGAGAAGAATGAACATTCAGGCCCAGGCAGCCTGAACTGGGCTTCTCCTGGGGGTAAGGTGTTAAGTGTGGGGTCAATCAGTAGGAAAAGATCTTTGGGAAGTTCAAGGATGATGAGCTATTAAGAGAGAATGTTTCTCATTAACTTAACCACAACCATTGGAGAAAGACTGACTTCATGTTAAAAGACGAGTATAAACTAACACCTGTATATTTATTTTGCAGGCTAATTTAAACACTCATGAGTAGGAAATGTTGGAGTGGACAGAATTCCAAATCTCTGTCTATCCTGCCTCTTCCCAGTAACCAAGGATATTGCAGAATTTATTATTTACATCCCCTCCACTGCTATGTAAGATGAAGAAATAACAATAGCAAACATAATTGCCAGCGTTGTGCAGAAGTTAAGATAATAATGAGCAACAGGCTGAAAAGAAGAGAAGACTGTGGTGGCAGCCATAGGATTCCGATGGTGAACTACGGCTGCAAAAATAAAAATAAGGATAAAACCTTACTGAGCATATGATGCAGCTAGCTCTCAGGAGGTTAGTATACCTTAGATTAAACACTGCAAGATCTGGATTCAGGAAATCTGAGTTCAAAACCTCTTCAGCCCTCTAGCTATGAGATCAGGGCATCAAATTCTGTGCCTACATTTCTGCATCTGTAAAATAGCAAAGATAACAGTATCTGCTTTTTATATTTATGTGAAGTAGTATGTTTAAACTGCTTAGCATCACTCCTGGCATAATTACTCATTATTAGTTTATTATCATCATCATCATTATTGACAGTATTTAATATCTGAGAAGAGATCCACACACGTAAGGGAACTCTGGGAGGTTTTCTTCGTTGCACTTTTCTGCTATTTCCAAATTTTCTAAAATAAATACGCATTGCTATTAAGATCAGGAGAAAAGAAGACCCACACATTTTAAGATGATAAAAATGTCACTAGTCCATTGTTTTCCTAATTCCCTGGATCATATTGTTGGAGGCGGGCACGGGTGTGCTTGTTAAAAACAGATTCCCAGGCCCCAACCAAGAACTACTGAATCAGAATTTCTTAGGGTAAACCTGTTCATCTATATGTTTAATCAGCCCTGCAGATGATTCTTATCTTCACGTGATGACTGAGCGACAGAAGGTTGACGAGGAAAGCCAGCACAGGTTGCAGCAATCATGAGGGACTGGCCTACAATTCCCATACTTCCCGGCAAACTGGAGACCAGCAATTCGGGATCCTACCGGGAGTTGTAGTTTCTGTCGGCCAGACGCGCGCCTATAATAAAGGCGACGACGACTGCCGAAAACCTCCCAGCCCACAATGCAAAGGTCGGTATTGACGTCACCTGAAGAGCGCCCGGGATGGAGCGGGCGATTTCTGCCGCTCCTACCACCTCTGCGGCCTCAAAGCCCCCCTCCGTCGCCACCGCCTCCTTCCCCTCCCCCTCCGCCTCCCCCTTCTCCGGCTTTTCCACCACCTCTGCACCACCCAGGCCTTCCGTCCTTGACAGCGAGCCGTGTTTGGTCTCCTTCCCGGGCCTGGGGCTCAGCCATGGCGGACGGCGGCGGCGGGGGCACGAGCGCGGTGGGCGGCGGCGGAGCGGGCCAGGCCTCCGCGGGGTCTGCGACGGGCGCGACGGGGGCCGGCGGGAGCGGCGGCCCCATCAACCCGGCTTCACTGCCTCCCGGTGACCCGCAGCTCATCGCTCTCATCGTGGAGCAGCTCAAGAGCAGGGGCCTCTTCGACAGCTTCCGCCGGGACTGCCTAGCCGACGTGGACACCAAGGTAGCTGAAGTCACCTGGGATGAAGGGGTTGGGGCTGGGCCTGAGACTGCCGCGGTCCCAGCTTTGCTTTCCCAAAGCAAAGAGGGAAACAAAAGATACCTTTGAAAATCTCAGCAGACCGCTTGGGGCAGCACGGGGAGCACAGATGCACCTGTGGACTCAACTCCCAGCCTCCTCACTATTAGCCGTGTGACTTAGTCCAGTCGCTTCTTTGAATTTGGAGATTTGGTACGGATTTTTTAGAGCCTAGATCCTATGTTTCCCAAGGTGGGACTTATTTAAACCTCTCAATAACAAACCTTAGTAGGTTAAGAACAGTGGAGAAAGCCAGGTAAGTTAAGCGAGAATGATTTGAATGCAGTCATCAGAATATTGTAGCTATTTGTTCCTTTTTAGTGATCTGCAGACTTGAATATGCAATTGAATTAATGTACATTGTTGTAGAACCAGCACCCTTATCTTGTACTCTGTCATTGATTAAAGGAGATTTGGTGCCTGGTTTAGATCCTAATGCCATAGGTCAACCCCCTAGTAAAATGCCCTTTCACTTTACCTAATTGCCAGGGTCGTTTGGATTCAATGAAGTCATGTGTGTTAAGTGTCATAGTACAGAAGTTGCTGGTATGTTCATTCTCTCACTTTTCAAAAGCTTCTCTAACAAGACTATGGGTTCTTTTAGAACGGGTATCTGTTACTGACTGGACTCCTCTAGGGAAGTGATTTCTCCTTTCTGAAGAAATCTGCCTACCTCACAGCAAGACTGTAAACTTAAAATTAGACCTTAAAGGTAGGGGAAGACATAGTCAATTATTCATTGAACATTTATTGGCCAATAGCATGGCAGGCTGTGTGGATATAGGAACAAGTGTTGTACTGCAGGATAGAAAACTGGCATGTAGGCCAGATAGCATATATAGGAAGTGGCTTATACTGACTGCTTATTCTTCTCCAGGATTAAAAACCCAAGTAGAAGTGCTGTTGTAGAAATGAGATACTTAATTTTCCTTACTTCAGGGTCTTCAGATATGTATTGATAGAGCTTCCACCTTTCCTAGGACTCTAGGGTTCCTTAGTTTCCCATCACAAGTTCTCCACTCATGTCCATTAGACTTTGTGTGGCTTATCAATGTAGTATGTGTGTTGGTTTTTTTTTTAATTAGAGTATTGAGAAGCTGTTGAGGGAAAGCTTGAGCCTTCCCCACTTAACGCCGCCTTAGACGTTCCTTTTAGTGGTTACCAGTTTTTTTAATTCTTGAAGAGACTATTTTCAGACACATCCTCCATCTTTTGTTGCTTTAGCCCCATGTTCTCAGTATGGTCCCTACATTAGCAACATATTATCATCTGAGAACTTGTTAGAAATGTATATTCTTAGGCCCTATCCCAGCCTGCTGAAATATTTAGGGGAAAGTGTACTGGTGATGTTTGCAATTTACAGCACATCCAAAATATGAATAAAAAGAACAAACTGATAGGTGAACCAAGAGGGAGGATAGATAGTAAAGTGTTAATGGCAGGCACCCAAGGAATTTCACTTCAGAAATTGAAGGGATTGCTCTGTATTGTCAGGATTTGTTCAGATTTGGTGGTGACCTTTGCTGCCCTTTGTCCTTTCTGAATAAACAAGAACTATAATCTCAAACCCAGAGAGTTATTTGAATAGTATCAGGATGCATGGTTACAAGTGACAAATCTAATTCTAGCTCCTTTAAGCAAGGGGAAGAATCTGCTGACTTGGGAAATCCAAGGAAGGATTGAATACACGAATGGCCAGAAGGGTAGAGATGCATTTGGAACCAGGGATGCTCCACTAGGGCTGACTTTCATCTCTGGTCTTTATAACTGTTGTACCCCCACTGTGGAGCAGGGTTGATTTGTCTTGATAAGTACATCTTAGGTCGTCTTTCTCTAGAAAGGGACTCAGCTCTAATTTTAAAAGTCCTAGGAAATATGTGCATTGTCTTAGCATGGGTCAGGTGCCCACACCAGTGGCCAGGAGAACATGGCCCCCTCTGCCCTACCTTGTGAAGAGGAAAAGATGGTTACCAGGAAAAAGGAGTTGCTAAGCAGATAGTTCACAGGTTTCTGTCAGTTTTACCCCTCACCCATCTCCCTGTCTTCCTCTTCCCAGGTTTAGTGGAGTGTCTGTATGCTTGTGAGTCAGTTCTCTTGGCCTTTTGGAAAAATCCACTCAGAGTTGAGGCCTACTGATTACCTCTTCAATTTCATTTATCTGTTAGCAAACTTTTCCCACAATAACACTGCATAATAAACCAAATCTCAGTGGTTTATGACAAGCATTTGTGCTCATGCTGACAAGGCTATAGGTCAGCTAAAGTTCAGCTGATCTAGGGAGGCTTCAGCTGGGTAGCTCAGCTATAGGCTGCAGGTGGTTTGGGTTGGGTTGGGTTTAGGTCAGTTGCACATGAGCTAATCCTGAGTCCCAGGACGTGCCCTCATAGATAGCACAGGAGCCAAGCCAGACAGCACAACCACATTTAAGACCTCTGGTCACCAGCACTCCATTGACCAGACCACATCATACTGCTAAACTTAACATAGCTGGGTAAAGAGGTATTCTCTGCCCGCAGTGGGATGCAGAGAGGGGTGCAGTGCTAAACAGCAGTATACACAGTTACGCCTGGTTTGGAGAAGAGCAGCTGATGGTGCCAGAAGGTCTCGGTGGCTCTGAACGTATGTTCCTATGTTCACCAAGTTCCTCTGATTTTGTTCTCCTGGTCTAGTTGGGCCTAGAATATTTGAGGCCAGTACATGCTTCTCGAGCTCTGTTTAGACTTAAGTTTTGCTTCCGCTCAGCATTTCCATGTTCATAGGCTTTGACTTCAGTCTACATTCTTGCATCATGCTGAGGTTTGGGTGGCCCTTCATTTTATGCGGAGGGCTTTCCTGAGCCCTTGTTTGTTGCTGAGGACACCCTGCAAGGTAAGCTGGCCAGTTTTACAGATGGAAATAAATGAGACTCAGAGGTGGGGTGACTTGTTGAAAGTCAGACAGCCAGTAAGTGATGGTGCCAGGCTAGACTCCAGTTCCTTTGATTTGGAAACAGCCTAGGTCTGCTCTTGACTTTGCCACATTTTATTCACATAGGCAAGTTGTTTACTTTTCTTAAGCCTAAATTTCTAATCTGTAAAATGCGAGCAGGAGTTGATGGAACTTCCCTTGTACAGTTATTTGGAAAGTAAATGAGATGATAAAACCATCTGGCATTGTACCCACTCACCATAAAGTAGACACTTGTGTTGGTCATTAATTTGTGCTGTATTAGGCTACACTACATGATGGTGACCTTCATAGTCACAGTGGAAGTGTAAGGACTTGAAAACCTATGTTTTTATAAAAAGCAGTGTTTTGAATGACTGATTTCTAAAACTTGTGCATGTAACTTCTGACCTTGCCCCCTTCTTTTTAATATTTTAGCCAGCTTACCAAAACCTGAGGCAGAAAGTGGATAATTTTGTGTCAACACATCTGGACAAGCAGGAATGGAATCCTACGATGAACAAAAACCAGTTGCGAAATGGTCTGAGGCAGAGTGTGGTTCAGTAAGTAAGCAGAGTTGCGAGTGAAAAGCCAGTAATCCCAAGCGTGCCGTGCAGGAGGCTGCCACGGGTCATCGTAGGGGCAGACGTCATGCATGAGTTGCAGCAGTCCTCTCATTTTTAAAATGAAAGTCAAGTAAGCAGAGCACCCAACTGAGGGTCTTGCTAGCTTATCCAAGCTGCACGGGCCTCCTGTGCACACTCCACTCCACTGGGTGATCAAAAGATATTCCAAATTGGGAGACCTATCCCCTGTTCCTTGAAGTTTTCATTGTAGTCTAAACATACGTAGGAGTTTTGTACCAAGATATCAGTGTTTGGATCTTGGGCAAGAGGAGTGGGGTCTGTGTTCTCACAAGTGAATGTGAGTGATACAAATGCTTCGAGTCCACTCGGCCCTTCTGAAGTGTAAGGGTAGGTTTCAGGGAGGCAGAGAGTCTTGTAAGTGTGTCCTTCATAGTAACAGACTGAACCTTGGGTGATGAGGTGCTGATAGCTCAGCCAGGTGACTTCTTAGTATAACTGGCAGTAAAAGTGGAGGTGGTCATGGAATCTTGTCGTGAGCTTTTTCTAATTTATTCAGCATCCTTTTTTTTTTAATACCAGCACTTGTATTCAGGCCTTGACCCACTGAACTCTCCTGGAATATCTAAAAGCTTATGAAGCCTATTTCTTTAAAAATAGAAATATCTGGGAATTATGCTGAGTTTAAAAAGCCAATTAGCAGAAAGGTATATGGTGCGGAATTCCATTTATGTGATGTTTGTGAACAAGCAGTTATAGAGATGGAGACCATAGTTGTGATTGTTGGGAGGAATGGGGGGAGGGGGGGGAGTGTAACTCGGAAGTGGTAGCGCAGGGGGATCTTGTGATGGTTCAGTTAAGTATCTTCATTGTAGTGGTGCTTAGGTGAAGTTACTCGTGACAAAATTACACAAAGCCACCCATGTAGACACTTGTGCAGCTACAAGTGTGAGATCTGAATACGGTCAGGATTGTACTGATGTCATATCCTGGTTTTGAAATTCCCCTGCAGGTATGCATGAAACTAACCTTAGGGGTGGCTGAGTGAAGGGTGCATGGACCCCCTGTATATTTCTTTGCAAGTTCCTATGTATAAAAATGACTTCAACATTTTTAAAAATACAGAAAGATGTTTGCTAACAAGCTAGCACTTTCAGTATGGCTGTGGCTGCTGAAATCTGAATCTTTTTAAACAAAGAAAGCTAAAACTACAAAAGGTCTCTGAGAGTTAAGGAAAAAATACACCAAAAGGTGCCCTGTGCCTGTCATTCTGGAGTCATTACCGAGTGCCCCTGGGCTCCTGCAGGAAGCGGACTGATAGCACAGGGATCTTTTGGAGTTAAAGGAACAGTAGTTGCCACTCTAGAGCAGCTGTTAATGTCTGGCCCTCATCCCTATATATGTTATTACTAATCCTCTCATTAGCATATTTTACAGCTTCTGTAACAGGTCAGAACAACTTGTTTGCCCTACTTTTTAAAGATTTGATCAGTATGTTAAGAATTAATCAAAACCACCAAATATTTTTAACTATTTGGAAAAGTGCCATTTTAGAGGTATGCATGTGGCTTTTCTTTTTATATACTTTTAATATGAAATGAAACATAGAAAGGTATACAGAACAAGTACAGTATTACAAATAATGAGAACGTGCCTGTAGTGACCGTCTGGGATGAGCAATGGAACGCTACCAGCTGCCTTTAAACAGCCGCTCTGCTTCCCGCCTTGCCCTTCCCCAAGGTGGCTACCATACTCCTCGCTTGTGTGGTAATCACTGCCGTTCAACAGTTGTTGGGGTTAAAGATGAGTCTCAGAGGAACTAAGTAACAGCAATCTGTTTGTCTCCACAAGGTCAGGGATGTTGGAAGCTGGAGTGGACAGAATTATTTCTCAGGTGGTGGATCCCAAATTAAACCACATCTTCAGGCCCCAGATAGAACGAGCAATTCATGAGTTCCTGGCTGCCCAGAAAAAAGAAGCTGTGCCAGTGCCCCCTCCAGAGCCTGAAAGCCAGGACCCTCCTGCTCCGTCCCAGGACGCTTCCTAAGGTCCGGTATCCCGTCTTTTGTCCAGGAGCATTCATCTCTGGTTTATAGATATATAAGATGAATAGAAAAGGGGTAAGGCATTATTGGGGATCATATTTCTTATCTATTCAAAAGGTATTTACTGCAGATGGACTTGACTTGGAGTCATTTTTCACAGAACTAATTTGTAGCATTTTCTTGTGTCAGTAGATTTTTATATACCACCGGAGCTAAACATTTAAGTTATAAATAAATGCTTCATTAGACCAACTAGGATGATTGGTGTGCACGAGAGAAATTTAAACAAGTCTAGTTTGTATGCAGTTGCTTCTGAGTCTTGTTCCTGGACATGAGTTAAACTCACGCTTATAACTTGAATATAAAAATCAAACAATGCATTCTAAAGTGGCATCCTAAATGGGCGTAAAGCAGACACTGAGTCCCTACTGTATCTCCTATGTAAAGGAATTTGAGTTTACCATTATCGGTTACTGTGGGATTCTTCTGTTAGGCACGCTCTTTTTTATTACTGGGATTTATTATTTGGGATTTAATTAATTTTAAAAATCAGCTGTTGATACACAAAACAGTGCTTTTTGCAGGCTTTGGGAGACATTAGGAAATATGAGACATTAGGAAAGGTGATCAGTAAATAAGCTATGAACTCTTAGCCACTGTTAGTACTCACCAGGGTGTGCCTTACCCCTCATTCTGCTTTGGTATTTTGTTTGTAAGATTCGTGAAGATGTCTTATTTTTTATAAACATCAGTAAGTGAACAAAGCTAGAGCAGCAGGCTTGAGTGGGGCACTGAGTTAAGAAAGCAGTTGTCTTTTTGTTCCTATGTTGGGAGAAGACCTCCATTCCATTATGGAGTGTAGAACATTCAAGTCTTTCTAGTTTAATTGCAAATTCCTTTAGGAACATAAAATCAAATGTAGTCTCATATCAAAAGTCATTTTGATAATGATTCTTTTTTCTTTTTAGAATATGCCTGACACCTTTTGGAATCTCTACTGAATTAATGGTGAAGAAAGGGATTTGGTTACATAAAAGTACAGCTTCAGAATGAAGACAGGCCAAGATTGTCACTGATTTCAAGATTCAGCCTTGACTGTTCAGGTGTCCAACTGGAACAGAGAACACGTTTGGTAGTAGAAAAGTTGGTTGTGTGTGCCCTGCACATTGTGCTGCCACCTGAGCAGGCTGGCCGGGGAATGACACCCAGTAAACACTACAGAGATTTGAAGAAACACTACATCAATCTGGGGTTGTCTTGAAACAAACCTTTATACTTGAACTTGGAGACTGCATGTAGATTTTAAGGTTTGTGCTTGGGGACAAACAAAACAGTGAAGGAACGTAATCAGTCCCAAAGATGCAATTCACAGCCTTACAGGGAAGGTTGCTGGAGTTCGTGTTTGACAGTGCTCGCTTGATACTGTTTCTCAGAGTTGCAAACTAGAATGCACAAGCCTGTTAGCATCAAATAGCTTTCAAGTTGTTGTAACCCTCTTGTACATGAATCTTGTAATTTCGGTCTGATTTCCCCTGGAAGACGTGATAAAATGTGGGACCTAGAATACATGAGGTGTAAGAAGAAGCTAGTGCAGGCTCTCTGTCTGGGCTTCTTCCTGCTGAGTAAGGGCTAGGGTTTATTTTTGGGTGTGTTTATTTTCTCATGTTTTTTAGAAAAGTGAATGATCAATAAATGGCTTAAGTTTTGTAATAAAATCATTTGATACTCTTACTCTGAGGCTTTAACAATCCTAGACCCCAGGAATGTGAAGGCTAACCTTTCTCCTCTGCCTGCATGTTATGCCTGTACCCAACACATGAGCTAATTGTGGTAGGGGATTGTTAAACATAATGAGCTACCAGCTCCCTGAAGCTGGTAGGTATAGATGGAAGTGGGCCAGCAGTTCCTCTCCTCTCCTGGGCCATCCTGACTTCAGTCTCTAGTTGAGGGCAGTATGTTATATCATTGTTCTTCAAACTTGAATGTGCGGAAGTATCACCTGGGAGTCTTGGAAAAATGCATATTCTAAGGACCCAAGTGTGTGTCTAACAAGCACCAGGTGAGGCTGATGCATCAGACCCTCAGCCAACACCGGATCGCGAGCCTTGAATGATACTGAACGTTAGTTACTTCAAAATAAGACTATTTGGTTCTTAGTGGAGTCTACTACTGGATATGATTAATCTTACAAACTTTAACTGGTTAATTGGTTCCCTGTTAAATGAACCACTTCCACCTTAACCATCGATACCCTTAGATTAGGATTGCCATGCCATTCAGTGAGGCATTTGGGCAACATGCACCCTCGTTTTAATTTGAATATAAAATCAAACAATGCATTCTAAAGTGGCACCCTAAATGGGTGTAAAGCAGACACTGAGTCCCTACTGTATCTCCTATGTAAAGGAATTTGAGTTTACCATTATTGGTTACTGTGGTATTCTTCTGTTAGGCACACTGTCTGAGCTGTGTTTTGCTTCCCACCTCCTGATGGGCATAATTCCATTTCCAACCGAAACACTTGGGGATTCCACCCGAAGTCCTCAGTGCCCGTGAAGGGGCCCTCCAGGTCCTGTCCACTTGGCTTAACAGGTAAATGTGGAGTAAACCAGTCCCGAGTTTTGCAAAGAGGCTTCTCAAACTGGTGTTCTCTCAAGATGTCTTGTCAGTGGGTTTCAGCCCCAAGGCAAGTTCTCTATGGATTCAGTGTGACCAAAGAAAATGACAGCAAAACATTCTTGGGGTGAAAGGGTTATACCCAACTTTATTTCCAGGTGGCAGGTCAGTCACTAAAATCCCATTCACTCAGAGCAAGTCTGCACGCAGCAAGCTGGTCTCTGCCTCTGGGCCCCTCTGTCCGCACAGCCGTCCTCAGGCCTATCTGCACAGGCGCCCTCTAGGCCTCTGTCCTCGGCACTGCCACCACTCCAGCCTCTGCTCTGCTCTCTTGCAGCCTTGCAGCCATGCCACCGTCACACCCAGAGCACTGGGCAGAGCTCTATATAGAGTCAACAGCCATGTAGTGCCCACAGGTGTGCAGTGAGCTAGTCAACCACAGCCAGGTGAGAATCCTGGCCACAGGAACTCGTTTTATCCACACAAGACAATGAGCCTTCAGTGGGGAGCTCCCTTCCCCAGAGTTGCCAGAGCAAAGCCCAGAGAAAGCTGCCTCCTTTCTGCCCCTGAGTGCCCAGCTGACCACATACCGGATCGTTTGGGGCAGGCAATTTTTGGTCCATCTCAGTTCTCTTACTTTGCTTTTCCCATTACTAGAGAAGGATGTACCAATTGATGAGAACACCCTGATTTTCACAGAATGTTAATCAGCATGCTTTTTTCATTGTGTTGATATCCACTAAGACACCTCAAATGAAGTCAGAGGTAACAAAACATCACTGCTGTTAGGACGGAAGATGGCTCTTAGCTGAGCCACACAGAAAGGGAAGAAGTGCCATCTCCGCTTGGGTAAACGTGGTTGCATTGAAAGGCTGGAGAGAAGGGTCAACACAGCGTTAGCAGGCCGGGTGGGTGAGAGCCTCTCTCCCCTCTGGAGGGGGTCATCTGCTAAGCCATTTGAATTTTAAGAGTCCTTATGCTGCCGGGTATTGGGTTAGTCATGCAGAGCCTAGAAAAATTCCTCCCTGAGGAAACAAAGCCACCAGAAATAACACTGCCCCTAAGCACCCTTGCTGTATTCATTCCCACCCAAGAACCAAGTTGTCGCAGACCTAAGGCTTTTTTCCTTATGGCTGGAAAAATGAAAGCCATTTGCAAAAGCCCAGTGAAACGCAGAACTATCCTCAGTTGCTATTAATAAAATCAATTGCATTAATTAGTCACAACCTGAGTTACAACTAATACAATTGTTAGTGGAGACCCTTGCTCCTGGCATTTTTGCCAGTTACTGGGGTAAATGCTTGATTGTTATTATCCACCTTCTCCACCCAGTCATGACTCTCTTGCTTGGCTTATAGAGAAGTTTGTGGCTCCTCTTAATAGATTTTCAGGCATTTTTAAATACCATTTCTGCCATTTAAGCTTAGCTTCTATTTATTCCGCAAGGGGCTTAGGGGTCCCATGCAGTCTTCATCACAAGCAGCATCAGCTGAATAAATACTAAGGGATCCAATACAGCGGTGCTTCTGAAAGCGTAATTCTCCGCCAGGAGCCTCAGCGTCAGCATCACCCTGAAACTGTTAGACATGCGGCACCCATCCAGACCTGATTCAGAGACTGGGTGGTTTGGGGGAGGCGGTGCCCACAAACCCTCCAGGTGATTCTGATGGACACTAAACATCATGACGCTTTAGGAAACCTTTTTGGAAAGCTGCTGATGTGGACTGGTAACGACAGTTTAATTATGATTAGTGGATGAACGTGTCTCTTCTAACAGCATTTTAGAGGCAAGACCATTTTTTCGCAGTTCTTCCATTAGTCCCTTGCAAGGACTTTGCTTTTGGACGTATTGACTTAGAAGCATCTGTGTGTAACTTAGATCTCCTAAGCTTTCAAAAGCTGTGATAAGTGTCTTCTGAAGATGAGTTTGCTAAGCAGTTCAGAACATTGCCAAGAATTCTGCAGAGGGCTTTCATTGGCTATTAAAGGTAGAGGAGAAATGCCTGTTGGGATCCAGCAAAGGTCAGGGCCTGAAGTTTGGGTTTGAAAACTGTGTTGGATCAGCACTGGTAGGGGGCCAGGTCCTGCCTCTCTTGGCCACCCTAAGGTTGCCAAGACGGGGTGGGAAGCAGACAGGAAAGCTGGCATAGCCACACGTTCACCGGCACTGCCCTGCATGCTGCCCATCACCTTACCTGTGGAGGAGACTGCAGGTCAACTTTTATGGTCTTGTTACCAGGGACGGGCTTGGCTGCAAGGCCACATGGTAGTAATTACTTGTCCTCTCCAATCAATCACACGGCCTGAGATTAGCCAGTCATGCTGACTCCAGTTCCCAGACTACCACTTGGCCATCCTTCCTGAAACTCTGCTCTTACCAAGCATCTTCCTCACGAACCTTTGAAGGAAGAAGTAGATGAACTAAGCACCTACCAGCTGGCAGACACTTTTATGCATCATTTCATTTAATTCTCATGACCTTGTTAGCCAGCATATATTCTCCATTTTCTGGATGAGGAAACTGAGACTCAAGTGAAGCAACTTATGTACAACTATTAAGTGGGGCATCAAGGTTTGAACCCAAGTCTCTGAATTGAAAGCCCACGATTTCCTCCCCTTTGGTGGTCTGCCTCCCTATTACTTAACAGAGCAGGTTCGTACTTGTCAGTCTCTGGGGTCTGAACCCTTCATTCCAAATGGAGGCCAAATCAAATCACCTTGACCTCCTACTACATCTCAGCACACACCCCTTAGCCCTAGTCAACCTCTACTTCCCTCACTCAAATGTATATCACAGGGCAAAGTTTGTAAACAGACAGGCTGATAATGGGTTTAACAGGGAGAAGTTTCCCACCAGGGTCCTTGCAGTCTCCCAGACACCCTCCCCAGAAGCAACTGCTATTCCCAGATCCATACCTACCCCTCCAGAGATGGTCTGCATATTTAAGCATTAAAATTCTTAGATCTGTCTTTAGCTGGGAGGTGCTCCACCTCCAACAGTCCCCAGGAGAGCTTCCTAAAAAGAAGAGAGAGCTTGGGAGCTTTGAGTGCCAGCAGGTCTTAGGGGTGAGAGTGAAGCAACGGGGAGAATGACAGCCACCTTCCAGAGTTCTGGGGTCAGTGATGTGCAGCGAGCCAGGAAGAGCAGTTAGCCTGTTTTGAGTGCTTACCAGGTGCTGTACTCTGCAGCCGCTACAGTGAAGGGCTTCCCTACAGGGTCTCCTGGACTGCACTCTGAGCGCAGCGCCATTGTCCCCACTGACAAACAGGTGCTCACCTGAGATGGTGCGTGACAAGTGTCAGAGCCCAACCTGCTCAGTTCACCTCAAAAGCCTAGTTATTTTTCCCCAATTTTTTGAGCTAAAATACACATAGCATAAAATTGACCATCTTAACCATTTTTAGGCATACAGTTCGCTGGCATTTCATACATTCACAATGTTGTGCAACCATCACCACCATCCAGCTCCAGGACTTTTACGTGTTTCCCAAACTGAAACTCCATACTCACTAAATACTACCTCCACTCTGCCTCTCCCCACGGCCCCTGGCAACCTCTGTTCTACTTTCTGCTGATGAAGATGATGACTCTAGAAACCTCATAGGAGTGGAATCAGACAGTATTTGTCCTTCTGTGGCTGGTTTATTTCACTTAGCACCATGTCCTCAAGGCTTGTCCATGTTGTAGCACGTGTCCAAATGGCCTTCCTTTTCAAAGCTGAATAGTATTCCATAGCACGTATACACATTTTGCAAAGCTTCGCTTTTAACTACAACACTGAACAAAGGCCTGACTCTTAGTAAATGTTTAATAACTTTTTTAAACTTTCACCTTTTTCCTCTGAAGTAATTTCAAAGTTACAGAAAAGTTGCTTGAAGAGTACAAATAACTCTTTCTCCTGAACAACTTGAGAGCAGTTGTTGACCCAAAGCCTTATCACCCCCCAAGTACTTCAACAGGTAATCCTACAGACACCAGCATAAAAGCATCAGGAAATTCACATGAAATTACCATCTAGTCCTCAGAACCGAGTGAAGTTCTGCCCGGTGTCCTGACTATAGCAAAAGGATTCAGTGCAGAGTCCCATGTGGCATTCAGTTGTCTCAACTCCTTT